CGGATTCCAGATGCTCTGCTCAATCTGGAAAATCAGTCCAATCCAACCATCGTTAAATACAAGGAGAACCTTGAGAGAACAGTCCCTATGGTTCAGCAAACCCCAGCTGGACCTACCCAGGGGACTAAGCCGAGTGTAAGTAAGGGTCCCAAGAGAGCCCCAAAGCCATAGAAACCAGTGGCACGTCGGCCCGATGAAGGAGAGTCCGATGAATCTCTCGAGAGGACTCAGACGACTGAGGGCAAACCGACGAACGCCGAGGAATCTGCTGATGACTCACTCAGCTCGGCCCACAAAGAGGCTGACGACGAGGCTTCCGATAGCGTGGCCAGAAGTGACAATGACGATGATGATGATGATGACGATGATGTTGACGATGTTGACCACACCTTTGCTCTCGTCCAAAAGGGTAAGCTGCCTATTGAATCTCCTCCGAAGAAAATTACCGCTGAGGATGCAGCCCCCATCATTGCTACACGCCCCAAAGAGCTCGTCATCAAGATCGTGGAGTCCGGTCATACTATAGTAAGTGCTGCCGGCATCGTCAGGGAGCAACGCATCAAAGCAAAAAATGATGCTCCCCAGTCACTCAACCCAAAGAAGCGGCGCCTCGTCAAAAGAAACCTAGTTGACGAGGACGACTTGTATATCTTCGCTGATTGTCAACCCTTCATAAATATAAGCCGAGCTGAATCCTTAAGTGCAGGAGCCGATCTTTTTTGTCTCCAAGTAGAAGCCGCAGCATCAGGCTCAACTGCGCATGCACCACCCTCACCTAGCCACTCGTTAGCCTCCCAACAGGCTAACGTTTCAAAACAGCGGGATTCACCCACCTCTCTGGTTCCCTCCGAACCAGTTGAGCGAATTAGTGGCCAACAGCCCGAGGCCACCACCACTTCCTTGAGCACATCGAGTCTAGGTGTCACACTCCCTACATTTTCTAATTTTTCTAGGACACCTACACTATTCACGCACATACAGGTGCACGCACCCTGGAAGCAACGACCAGAGTACCAACGATGACGGTCGGAAGCCCTGCTACGCCCACAATGACCCCATCATTGAATGCAGGCCACACATCAGCTCTCTTCACTAATGCTGTGACAACAGTTACAACCCCTGTAACTGAACACCTCACTACCGAAGACGTCACTGTTCTTATGCACCATTTCTTGGATTCCACCATTAAGCCATGGGTGCAACAAGCATTTACCGCTTGGGCACAAGAATCCAAGACCACCCCGGCAATGCATAGTGAACACAACTAGCCTGAACCACACCCATCACCTTCTCACTCCAAATCTCAAACCTCTCCAGTCATCTCCGCCACCTCCACCAAAGTCCATAGCCCTACCTCTTCTCGTGGAACCCATGATACAGACCAAGTATCATTCCCACACCCGACCACACCTCCCATTGAACTACTTTCCCAACCCTTCGAGGTCTTGGCATCGGCCTTGCTGGATCATCTCCTAAACATACCCCACACCGACCTCACTCCCTACCAGCAAGGCGTCCTTACTGCCCTTCTCGCTGATCCGGACACCAAGGGCACCTGCCGTGAAAGTCCCCGTGGTCGCAAACGTTCACATGAGGATCCCGACGATCCGGAACCTCATGAGGGGGAGAACAAGAGGCCACGGATACTCGAGCAAGGTGCCTCTACCACTCATACCCCCCAAACCGAACAACCCGAGACTTCCATTAACCAACCACCACCTTCTCTTGCCAAAACCAAGCCCATCTCTCTAGCGTGGTCGAGCTAGACGAAACATCCCGAGGCTTATCTCCTAGAGATATTGTCCGAGGAGGGGATGGAAGTCCTGATGATGCTACCCTTGGTACATCAATAAGTTCAGGCCATCAGTCAGACCCTGTGTCGAAGCTGATGACAACATCCCGAGGCGTATCTCCCAGGGATACTATTCGAGGAGGGGATGGAAGTCCTGGTGATGTTACTGTAAGTACATCCTCAAAATCAGGCCATCAGTCAGAATCCAGTTCTAAACTGATGTCAACGGGGCAATCCAAGTGAACCCGGTTGTGCTACCCAAGAACAATCACCGCTCCAACAGTAGCAAAGAGTTCCATACATTCCCCCAGGCAAGGACATCCACGACGCACTGGAGGATGCGGTGATACATGATAAATGGCCAAGACAATGGACAGAATGGGATGATCTCCGCAGTGAGGCTGAGATAGATGACATGCAGAGAAACTGGTGGCTTCGAGAACTACTGACCAAATGCGCTGAAGACATTGTCAGGCTCGAGGAAGATGAAATCAAGGAAGGGGAGAACTACAAAGAGACCCAGAGGACGCTTGAATCTGTAGTAAGACAAACGGCGGGACGACTTCCCAAGGCCGAAAAACCCTGGAAGAATGTTAGGATAAGAGCCCCCTTTCAAGAGGAAATCAGAGAGCGCATTTGGCGTAGACCGGACAAAATCAAGCCCCTGAATGAGCTAAAGCTTCGAAGTCTCACACATCTCAAAGGAAAACAAGCTGGAGGCCATCTACATATGCTGATGCATCGATCATCCGGACCTCAAAGAGCTGCACTTGAAAAAGATCTGAGATCCAGCATACATCCGGTTCATGATATCCTGGAAGTCAAGGCTGAAGATCATAACACAATCAGGTTCTACTCCTATAAGCTGAGGCGCACAGACGGAAGCATATTTACTTGCCAAGAGAATGACTTCATCATGATGAAACCGGATGACATATATCAAATGTTCATGGCATATAGATACTTTCCAACCATGAAGAGTAGAACTTACAGTGAAGGTTTTGAAGCCATCAAACGATTCATGCTCCGACAAGTCCGAGTTCATTCAACCCACGACTTGCAGATGGCTATAGAAAACAACTTGTCAAAGACAAATCTTGCACAACCACGACTTCAAGGTCCAGAGATCAATGACTTCCCAGCTTACCACATATTCTTCAGTCCCCCAGCAGTCACATATCTGAATCACAAAAATGAAAAACGTTTGATGATGGTCAACGAAATTGCAAAGTACTGTGATGGAACTCTGAAGATCATCAAAGAGCAACTGCTGAAATTAAAAGAAGAGCTGGACAAAAAGCTTGCAGACGCATCGTCATACACTCAGAAGGAGCACGCAACATTGACAACCATTCTAAAGGCAATTGACGATCTCCTTGACAAGAGGAACATGCTTAGGCAATACGAGCATGCTCTTAACATCAGAAAACATTACTACCAAGCTCAGAATGAGGAGAAGACAGCACTTGATCACAAAGGGGGAGATTGTTGAAGATAATTCTATTGTGAATCAAGTCTGTCAGTTTTGTCTGTAATAGTCTAGTCTACTATTTCCATTATGCACTGATATACTGTATCTCTTAGAATAGTATTTTATATGGGCCAAATGTTAGGCCCATAACAGACTGAAAGCCTTTTTACGTATAACTGAACCTCGCCTATAAAAGGGATCCGATGATTCAGGTTTAGGTTAACTTTCGTACCCGCTCATAATAGCCTTAGCGCAAATAATTCTGTGTACGAGTTCACGGTATATCAAGAACGGTTTACATCGATTCATCTGTGTTCATCTTTACTGTTAATCTTCTTCTTGTTATGCTGTTATTCATATTGCTGTAATAGAAACAGGGACTATCACTCCCAGGTCTGCAATCGACGACCAATTCGCGGATCTTTGATCGATCAACTGACCAACCTTCAACTGCCTCTGTCGCCTCTGTCGCAGGTCCTCTCAGTCGCACTGCCATCCTGACATCTCTTCCTTTTCTTCCCTTTCTGTCTGATCGCGGGGATGGTGAAGGGAGCGAATCCGAGCACGAAGGGGGTGAATCCGAGGGGGCGAGCGGCAACGAGGAAAAATCTGCTAGGCTAGGGTTTAGAAAGTGGGCCATGACGGAAGATTGGGTTACCTGCGTGCCAGCAGTGTTGGTGGGAAGAAGTCTAGAGGGGGGTCTGCGCAGAAGAGAAGTCAGAAAGAGACGAGGAAAAGAAAGGAAAAAAAGAAAGAGAAAAGAAAAGGAAAAAAGGAAAAAAGGGGAAAAAAAGAAAATGGAAATGAAAAAAATGCCACGTAGACTGCCACGCGAGTCGTTAACCGGCAAACCGAGATGCTACCGGCTAATCGGCTCAATTAAGCATTTTTAAAGAGTTCAGGGGTTCAATTGGGTGTTTTTGAAGTGCGAGGGCTTGATTGACGTTTTGGCTATAGTACGAGGGCCTATCTGATAGTTTTCTCTTAAAAATTGATCCATCCAAATGTTTTGAAATATATATAGAGCACGCCAACCTTGTAGATGGGTAAAAGACAAGGCCATTTAATTTGAAATTTTCTAATCTCATATAGTTGGTGGACTTAATTGATTCGGAAAAAGTACGTGAACTCAATTGACATTTTGCTAAAAGTACGTGGACCTATTTGACAGTTCTCCCAAAAATAAAAAAATTGGAAAACAGTAAAAAATGCCAGCTCGGACGTTCACGTAGGCGTTTTTAACCGGGTAACCGGTTGATTACCTACTAAAAAGTTGATTTGGTCGTTTTTTGATAGTTGGCGGACTTAACTGACTCGGAAAAAAGTACATGGACTCAAATGACTTTTTGTTAAAAGTACGTGGACCTATTTGACAGTTTTCCCAAATTTCTATCGAAAAATTCCACCGAAAACCGCTCCAAATGGTGACGGCCGAACAAAGGCTCCTATAAAAGGACTTATTTGTACTCCCTCCGTTCCTAAAAATTCTTCTCAATTTGACTTGGCACGCTTATTAAGAAAGTGGAATAAAGTGGAAATGTATGGTTGTGATTGTGTAAGAAAAAAGTAAAATGAATGTGAGCCACACAAATTGTCCAAAATTGGAAAGTGGGAATTATTTTTGGGAACAACCCAAAAAGGAAAGTGGGAAGTATTTTTGGGAACGGAGGAGCACTTTGATGCCTTTATCGGGTAGTTCTCCCTATTATACTATCTCTATATCTTATCTAATGTGGTCCTGTATGATCAGGTGTGTTCGAGCAAACACATCCTACCTTGCGAATCACCCGTGAACTCCCGCCTGCCACACACGTAGAGTAAAAGAACTATGGAAGAGCTGCAGAAACTGCAGAAGCTGCATAGCATGATTGAAAGGATGCAATCTTTCGGAATCATCGGCTCTTCCGAAAAACACGATTCCAACGCTCTTCGTTTTCTCGCCAACTTCGCCCTCCTCTTGGTAACCTTATATATCTGTGCATAGTTTCTTCCAGTTCTATTCCTAGGCATCTTTTCCAGCTAATCTCAACATCATTGTGATGATGATAAGGTCGAAGAAGGATGCGAGCTTGATATTGATACGAAATGCCTACTCATTCTTCAACACCTTCCAAGGGTTTGCAAATTTGATTAGGTTATGGATGATATATGGGATGCTTATATTTTAGTGTTACACAGTGACTCATAGTTCTTGTTTTCACAGATCTCTCCCGAGTTCTTTGAGGAAGCATCAAAGTGCATCTCTGGGGAAGGTTCTCTTCCGAAGCCAATGGTTCAAGGTGGTTCTGACTCCTTATTTTTAAATTTATTGCTGATGAAAAAGTTTGCTCTTTTTTGCTTTCTGGCGATTCTTAACCCCTCCCCCCTCGAATCTTTTGGTTAATGGGTTTGTTAGCTCTTTTAAAAGCTGATAAGTAGGGAAGTATTAGTGATTATCTCTGTTCTTTTTTTGCCCTGGGATTAGTGATTGTATATGTACTAGTATATATAACTATATATGAACATTAAGGCCGCATTTGGGGTTTTGTGGCAATATAGTACCCATAAAATTTAGTGCAGGGACGGATGCAGGGGCTGAGGGGACAGTGGCCCTCTCCCTCCTCCCGAACATTTTCAAATACCCATAGTAGGTCTGTTTGTATGTAATATCTCAGTAAGTGACATTTCACCCCCTTCGTCTCTCCATTACTCCAAGTACTATGAATATCAACAATCCTAACTTCTAAATGTACATTTGTTCCATACTTTTTTTTGCTACACTCATGGCTGGCATGCGATTATTGAAAAGTGAGCAAAGTACACCTACCCTTACTCTATAGTGCTCTTTTCATCACATAAAAAGAGTCATAAATTGACTCATGCAAATATTTTTTTAATTTTGATGAGGTACACACGTTATACATCGCAAATGAGTCTTATATTTTTGAAATTTGTTGATAGCTATATTGTGGTAAAACTACTGCAATCATTATAGTTGGGTATGTTGTTTGGGGGCCACTGTTGTGTATATTTTTTTGCTTGACGTCAAGTGCACCAAGATATATTGTTTCCTAGATATATCTACAATAATTTGTTAAACATATCAACTTAATCTGTTTGTTTAATGAGATGCCCCTCTTCCACAATGTTGGTTAGCTTTTGTATTAATGTATGTGCAAATTTTATTAATTTAGTGATACTAAGATAAAACCAAAAAGTTATAATCTTTTGCACATCAAGGCTTTGAGTAGACTATTCTTTGACTTTCTAACTTTCTATTGTTTTGCTTGACGTCAAGTGCACCAAGATATATTGTTTCCTAGATATATCTACAATAATTTGTTAAGCATATCAACTTAATATGTTTGTTTAATGAGATGCCCCTCTGCCACAGTGTTGGTTAGCTTTTGTATTAATGTATGTGCAGATTTTATTAATTTAGTGATACTAAGATAAAACCAAAAAGTTATAATCTTTTGCACATCAAGGCGTTGAGTAGACTATTCTTTGACTTTCTAACTTCTATTAAAACATAAAAGGGTAATGTGGGAAAGTGGATTTCTTTCTAGTGTTTATTTTAGGAAGGTAGACAATATTTTGGGCTTCACTAACAAAGAAATGATACAATATTTGTTTCTGTTGGAGGTAACAAAGACATCCAAAATTCTGCGTCCCTTTGCTCTAATGATGAGAAGGTGAGCCCCGATCGGAAACAATGGGATTTCAGAGATGTTGCTTTAATCAGTATGGATGATATTCTACACGCTAATTCTACATTAGAAGACTTTGTAAGCAGCCACTAACTTTTGGTGAATTTCATTAGATATTAGTTAGTGTATTTTTGGGATGACTTAGTTTCAAACAATTAAGTATTTTTTTATTGAAGGGGAGTATTTTTTTTCTATAAAAATAAGCCTTTGACAAGGAAACAAAAGAAGTATTTTAATTCTAAAGAAAAGACCGCCTGTGCTTATTTAAGAAAGCAAATGATTGGAGCCTTTTGAAAAAACAAAACTCTTTTAGTGCTTACTCCAGAAAACACTTCTTATAAAAGTACTAATAGCATAAATCATCCCAAATAGGCACTTAGACTCTCTTGAATGTTGTATCACTAATATTCCGAACTCCACGCTGACACTTAGTCTCTTAAATGTAATATCACCAATATGTCATATTCCACAGTAGTGAGTAATGAGTTGTCACTTGTTAGCTATAAAGGCTTGACGTATGAATCTGTCTTGCACTCACCAGTGTAGGTCATACTTTATGTTTCACGGAATTGATGCACACCAGCCTCAATCGATATTCAAATACCTACCGATTCTATCATTCACTGAAAGTTTTATCTATCAGGTAACTGTTGCCATGATTCCATGGCATTTTTCTTAAAAACTTTTGTTTACATTGTCATATAAGAATAAGATGGATTCTGTTCAACGCTTTAAGTCTCTCTTTGATTCCCAAGGGAGAATTGGACTCCCTTAAATTCTCACAGTGACCCTATCCTGGCCAGTTGCTTGTACCTGTTCATGGGATTCCACATTTCCACCTTTATGTAGAAGTTTTCTACATTTCAAAAAGGGATATAGGAAGTTTTCTATATTTCTTATTTCAGTTTTCAGCTTAAGAAAGAGGATTACTAAATGCTTATGATTCATCCATAATGACAAGACAATGAAGGATATCAACAAAATTACATGGATGACACATTTTAAAAGTCAGAGTAAACGTGAGTATTCTTTTAAGTTTCAACATCGTATCAGCCAGAGGTACTTTATAAGTACCCCCCAATGAAATATTTCTTAGAAAAAAACAAAGTTTCGTGATCAAAATAGAAATTATAGAGACGTTTAGACATCGTTTTTATTATCAATTTTTTTGTGTGGGAGCTAAAAACTAATTCACCTAGATTTGCATGCCCATGAATGTCAAAACAATTGGCTGGTTTTAGCTTCATCATTTGATGCTTGTAAATCTATTGGTGCCTGCAATGCAGTTGGATAAATTAAATGAAAAGTTTCTGCGGCCACCATGGAGGCAGAATACCATTTTATGCAACAAACCTTGTGGGGTAATTCAAACAACCTATTTTCTCACTTTATAACATATTTTACTGGCAAAACTTACCCCCTTTTCTTTCTAATGAAGTGCAGGGAGGTGATCAAAGCTTGCCTCTAAAACCTGTCAGCATCACATCTGATGCATTTGAGCCACTAGTTAACATTCTTGATCTTCAAGGGCTTTTGACAGATAGGTTAAACTTCTGTCAGATCATTCAGGGTTTGTTTGTAAATTATAACTAGGAAATTGCTTGGACAAGAATATAGGTAGAAAAATGTAGAGGAAAATTGGAAGGAAAATAACATGTTTAGGATAATTAGTCATTTGTTCAAAATCAATAACTGTCTACTAACATTTGTTCGAATTCTTTTACTCCCTCCGTCCCAGAAAATTCTTCCCACTTTGACTTGGCACGGAGATTAAGAAAGTGGAATAAAGTGAAAATATGTGGTTGTAGTTGTGTAAGAAAAAGGTGAAATGAATGTGAAACACACAAATTGTCCAAAAATGGTAAGTGGGAAGAATTTTTTGGGACGGCCCAAAAAGGAAAGTGGGAAGAATTTTATGGGACGGAGGGAGTATTTATTTATCCTTTTGTATTATATAAACAAGAAATTTAAACATATGCAAAAACATCAAATCATATTTCATTTCCCTTTGCATTTTCCATTGTAAAGTGAAACATAATATAATAACTTTCATTAGCATTATCTGTCCTTAAATCCTTTCACTAGACTTTCTTTTCCATTTCTATACCTTGGAAAATTGTCTTAAATCTGTGTTATTTTTGAGTTTTCATGTGCAGGATAAGTGAAGAATTGAGGAACGGAATTGAGTACTGGTCCCTTGAAATGAAGCTATGCAATGCCCTTGCAAGCAAATCGGAGGTACGTAAAAGTTTTTCAAACTGTTCTACTGAATCAGAATCTGCATACATGTGTTGAGCATCTCAAGTCGGCTGTCTACTGGGTTTGGATCTAGTATAAAAGTTTTAAGGAAGATCTCACCTACTTCATGATTACCATTTGGGATGAGTTAGACATAATTTAAGATGGTATCATAACTTGGTGTAATAGTGGTCTATGGGGTGCCAACTCACTTGTTGGTTTGGAGCTAGAACATTATGGGGTGCCCATCCACTTCTTGGTTTGGGTCTAATACAAGTATCTCGTATTGGTGGTCTTCTGAGTTTGAATAGAGTGTTCAAGCGAGCTAAATATTTCACCTTTTGAGGGCTCTTTGAGTGTGAGTTAGGACACAATTTAACCTGTTTGCTTTTGATCAAATATATCCCTCATAGGTATATGTTACAGATGTCATGCGGGCTGTTCAATTGAAGTCATTTGATTATCGAGTGCTGAATCTTTTACTGTATCAACTGCGTGGAGAAAAGGTAGACTCTTCGATCGACCAAGATCAACTAACGCAATGTGTGTGATTATAGTGTATTAAATATTTGCTACAAAGCAAAACATATTCAATTATTCATTGAGAGTTTTTCAAAGCTGTTTTCAAGGTGAATGAGTTGCATATGGAGTTCTTGTCGATTTCGGAGTTCCTTGTAGAGATATCTGATGACCTGTAAGTACTATCAAGGGCATGACCACATGACCGCATGATTGATACTACCTCCTTTTTCCCAATCATTTCTTGTATTTTTTCCCATCACTGTGATATGGGAAATATTTTATGTTTCCTGGGTTGATAAATACTTTTTTTGGTTGATTTTGAATGTCTGACACAACACAATTTGGATAGTGTCTCTAATGAATGAGTGGATGATGTCGTCCTAGGTTTGACTATGAGGTTAGTTCTTTTGCTTTTACATCTTTTAGTTATTTGGTACAGAAGTATATAACTTGGTACACGATTTTTTTCCTTTGTAGGATGATGTATTAGAAAACAGTTTCAATATATTGCGGATGTTTGTCCAAATTTATGGAGCTACTGCTGCACCACCGATCCTGGTAAGCATATATGCTATTGTGGTTAGGTACTTCAGAACATTGTTACTAAAGTTTCCTTCTAGCCGCTATTATCTATTTATCTCAAAATAATTGTTTGTCAGATACCCCATATATTAGCTTTTGTTGTGTCTCTCATATTGGCTTTTAACTTCGCTCAGGCAAAACACATAACAGAAGCAGAAGCAAAGTATGGCAGCCTTTTGGAAGCTTTAGGTCCTGAATTATCTGTAGGCTATAAAAAAAGATGTGAAGAAGCTACTAAAGAAGGTATCCCCTCCCCCAGGCAAAGCTGTAAGGCACCCTGCTGTATTTTTTTTTTTATTTCTTAGGCACACTGTTGTAGTTTTCGCAAAGTACAAGTATACACCTCTTAAACGTTGTGAACCGTACTTGAATTTTTACAAACTGTTTTAAGTTTTACATAAAATATCACTTTGAACATGTTTGTAAATTGTACGGAGTAATGTTTTTTTTGGGGAGGGGGTGGAAACTGGAAAGGGGAACGGGGAGTTACATGAAATATTTATATACTTTTTTATGAAAAGAAATATTGGAAACCATAAATTTGTTTGGTTGTGCTGTTATTTTTGCGTGTTTCTGATACCTTTAAATGATTTGTTGGGTTGAACTGTGATCTGAATGCTGGTCGACCCTTTTAGGCGGGAAGAAAGGCGGCCCCCCTCTTGGAACATGGTGCATACCTCGTGTGATTGAAGATGAGGATCTGTATAGGTCCACTGTTTCAAGTCCCAACCAAGCCTTAAAAGCAACAAGATGTCACAGTTGTTAGGCTTGCACCAATATTACAGATTGAGAATTACTTCACTTTCTGATTTTTCCTTTGCACTTTATGCTCAATTAAGAAAACAATTTGAGCGCTGGTAAAAAAAAGACCCACATTTATTCTAAAATTGCAGAAATTAAATTTAGCCGTAGTTCATAATAAAGTTTAATTAAAAGTAGTAGCCTTTTTTCATAACTCATAGTAAGATTTTAAACGAGAGGTGATTCTATCAATAAACATTCAAAAAGGAGTGTAAGACGGTCATTATTATTACAATTAATCAACATATTGTGAAACCCATGTAGGATTCTTAATATAATGATTGTGTAGTTCGCAATATGTATGTAATTTGTTTATATATAATATATATATATAGGGGTAATTTGATTTTGCATCCCATTTTATTGTCCAAATTGGACGTTGCACCCATTTTTTAAAATTATTTGTATTTTCATCCCAACCCCTTGTCCCCTTATAAGAAGACAAAAATGACTTTCAGGAATATGTCGAAGGTCAAGAGAATTGTTATTGCAGGAGCATTTTTGTCTTTTCATATGGGTTTGGGTGCAAATACAAAGAATTTTAAAAATGAGGTGTAAGGTCCAATTAGAACAATAAAATGAGGTGGAAACACATTATCCCTATATAATTTACTAATTTTTTCTAGTGACACCTTGTTGTCATCGTTACAACTTTACCGCATTTGGCGTTGTGAGAGTGATACAGTGTCACATATTTCAAATGAACTCTGTGCTGCAATTTTTTTTCCAGAGCATCATGGATAGTAAAGGATGGGTTTGGGAAGTTGATGAGGAGGCATGGGAATTATCTAGTATAGGGCATATATCACGTAGACTTATCACATACTCCCTCAGTTGACATATTGCAAAATTTCATTGTATCGACATATTCGATTTGTGTCGTTCGCCTTTAAAGTTTCATCTTAGGAATTTATTTTAGGAATTTTATCAATTCAGGACCTGAAAGATAGACGAATTATCAATCTGGGACCTGAAAGATGAAATACATCGATATAGGACCCGACTGATGAAAAACTATCAATTTAGGACCTAAGTTGTCATAATTTTTTTATTTTTTTTATTTTAAAAATTTTAAATATTATTTAGTTTTATTAAACTAATAAACTTTTGTGAAGAAAAGTATATCAAAAATTAGTAATTGAATTAATAAAAAATTAAATAAATCAAAACCTATGAAACGTTAGGTCCTAAATTGATACTTTTCCATCATTCAGGTCCTATACCGATACGTTTTATCTTTTGGGTCCTGAATTGATAATTAATCTATCTTTCGGGTCCTAAATTGATAAAATTCCGTATTTTAATAACTAGACGAAGTACATGTGCGATGCACTGGTATCTAGAATATAATAACAAACTATTTGATTATATAATATAATAGAAGTTGTACAAAATTGAAAGTTTGGATCATATGAAAAATTGCAAGTAAAATTCAAATTAACAATAGTGTAAAAATAAGCTGTATGTTGCAATTAAATAATAATATAGAACAATTATTAGTGGGGCACATCTCACTTGAAACTTTATAAAAAAGAACTATCATATATCTTGATAATGTACAAAATGTATAATGAATTTTCAATAAACTTTTTACGGGCTACATTGTTAGTAGTGTTGATAGCACGATCATCGTGTATTAAAACCTCGAACTCACTCTTTGAGATGCCTCTTGATATGATAACATACAATTGACCATGCAACCTCGAACTCACTCTTGACCATTCTTTCAATCTTCTCTTCTTTTCTTCTTTTCTTTCAACCCTAGCCTTCTCTTCTCTTTTCTTTCCTTTTCTTCTATTCTTTCAATCTTCTTTGACTCCAATAATAAAAAAGAGTCATTCTAATCGGTGTTTCCAGTTCTACATGTATGTTTCTTTCCTAGTATCGTCTAGAAGTTTATTTCCGGTGACAGAGTGTCGCTTGTCATATTTATATTCCCCGCCATCTTTGGTCGGGTGATCTTGTGTATTACTAAGAGTTTTGTACTAATCCTTCATCAATCATGAATCTATTTTTTTCTACACCAATACTAAAGCGGAAGACCCTCTCCTGAACCACTGCCATTCCAGAAAGTTGGGATCACATAGAGTGCTTTATTTGCGGTGGTTGGTGAAAGTGGAATAAATTTATACTTGACTCATTACCGGTTGCTGGAAAACCAGAAAGTTTAATAGTTCTTTTGATAATTATTGTGGTCGTAGCATGAACAATCAATCTATAGGTAGAGTCTACATCTTCGTAGGATTAGTGATTCGACGTTTTTGGTTTGAATTGTCTGTTTCTATGTCTCATCGCGTTATAGCTTTAAGTTATACTCCCTCCGTCCCGAAGAGGTTTGCCAAATTGACTTTTCTTGGTCAATGACAATCAACTTTGACCAATGATATTTTTTCATTCGAAATTATTTAGAATATGAAAATTATATCAAAATATTCCTTATTGAAAATATTTTCATAAAAGTATAAAATTTATAAATTATATACAAATATAATAACTAAAATCATTGTTCAATGTTTGCCATCATTGACCAAGAAAAGTCAATTTGGCAAACCTTTTCGGGACGGAGGTAGTATGATTGTAATTCTTTATCAATAATAATTAAATTATGTGCTTCCAAAAACTTGTGAAATAAAAATCTTTTGATAAAAAAATTTGTTGGATATAATCTTCACCTCTATTTCAGTCAAACCATGATAAGACCCAATGTTCCATCCTAAAAGGTCAACCTGATAGGAGGAGTAGCCCAAAAGCTTATATAGTATTTTATAGCTTTTCGGTGTTGGACAAATACTTTAACACAAAACACATTTACTATTAGCCATATGAGCTAGAATCCAATTTCATTCTCATTCATCAAACTCTATTCCACTGTATCAAATTGTTCCATGTTTATAACACTTAATAAAGCGTAAGGACTAATATATTAGACAATTTACAAATAAATACCATGTTAAAATCTATTTATATTGTTAAAATATACTCCGTATATAATCCATTGATTTACTAAAAACATTTTGCCAATAAGAGGGTCAGAGGTTGTATACAATTCACTCAAGACATGGAAAATAATCATGTATAATTTTTTATTGTTGCAATCAAGCCAAAACAATTCACATTGAAGTGCAAATATAAAAGATATTTACAATAGGGTAGTGGACTAATTTCATAGTAGAATATAATTATTCAAATTTGTACTCCCTCCATATTGAAATATTTGCTACATTTTTCTTTTTGGTGTGTTTTTTAATTTTTGATACATTTTCCCTTTTTGGTGCGTTTTTTCTTTGAAATACTCCAATGTCGTTAATTTTTCTACATTTTCATCTTTTCTTTCATACATTTTCACCATCTCTCCTATTTTTTCTAAAATACTTGTTACCCTTACTACTTAACTTTAAATATTGCGCCAAATTGTATTATAGCAAAATTTCAATATGGATGGAGTATTAAAAATAATAATTCCATTGGTATGTGTTGTGATATTTTAGTTATAACTGTTGTAGTTTCTGGTATTTTCAATTGGATAGAAATTCTATGATATGGTTTGGTTTGATCTGGTTTTGTTGATGTCCATTTTGTGTATTTTACAATTGTCTGCTCTAACATGATTTATTTAAATTTAGTCTAGTCTGGTCTAATATGGTTTATTTAAGTCTAGTCTATTCTGATCTGGCTAGAGACTCTGAGGTTGAACACTATGGGGGTGTTTGGAAAATGTCTGTTGGCTGTTTTGATTAGCTGATTGATAACAGTGGGTTTTGTTGGCTGTTTTGGTTGTAAAATTGTGTTTGGTTAAATAGTTGTTTACAATCAGCTGATAAATTGTTAAATGACTTTTAAGTCCATCAATTATTATTTTTGCTAATGTTATAAGACAACTATTTGAACCGTTTTTCACTTCTAAAAAAACATTTGTGCATTTGTTGTTATGGCATTATCATAACTTATCAGTGCTAAGCATTTCAGACATGACAGTGATGGAAACCCATCAAAAATAGAAAATTTCTCAACCTCAAAGAAATAGAAAATTTCAAAATGAAATTGATATGAGGAACAATGAGATGGATGGCTACTGGATAATGGGCATGCATAGGTCTATGCACTACGCTGTGTTTTTCCCTTCAGCTGAAGAATATTTTTGGAAGAAGATGACAATTACGAAGCTCAACATGGGCATTATAGGAAAAATAAGAAAACGCTGATGCTAAACGTTGTGAATTTCGGCTTTTGATATTTCGGTTGTTTCAAACAAAAAAGACAATTGAAAATGTCATCTAACCAAACGCCTTTATTAGCTGATTGATTCATTCAAAAAGCCAAACATGGTCGAATCGGCCAAAAAATAGCCGATAGCCTCCTTACCAAACACCCCCTATATCTTTTACTTTTTAAATCAATTTCCTTTTAAACACTACCAATTTTAACTATTAATCATTTCTCATCCAATATTTTAAATAAATCATGTATAGAAGCAATAACATAACTTCCGTAGTGTACTTTATACCATCATTATTATTTATAGTTATACTAGTTTAATAACGCGCGTTGCGCGTTCGTGGTAATGCCCAAAACCAATGTAGGGACAACAATATCTCAGTTAAGGTTTAGTGAAAATATGAGTAATATGAATACAACAGTTGAATACATAATTTGTTATTTATCGATAAAGAATCATAAACAATAAAACATGTATAAGCTAGAAAATATGTGGGAAAATAAAGCAGTCAAGATGATTATAGTAACCATAATAGGAGTGAGATTCACATGAAACGGTAGCATGTATTTGTGTTGTTACATGAAAACACACATAACAAATACAAAAATGTTTTGGTCGGAGAAATAGTCAAATACTTATTGGGTTGTAGCGCCATAAGACAAATATGTCCCATAAGACAAATTCATGTACTGCATTGTAACTCTTATACCAAGATTCTGCCCTTCCATTCAAGTACCTATCAAATCAAGCCAGGACCCTCCTACACCATAACATGCACTATTTTTTTTCATAAATAAATTTACAATGTACAATAGACTTCATTGCTTGAGCTAGTTAGTCCGTAGATAAAATTTATTTCAGGAAAAAGTATTACTAAAGCTGTAAACATAGAACTCATTTTTTAGCTCAATCCTAGAAGAGATTAAGGCTACCAATACCTATTAAATTCATAAATAAATAAATTATCATAGTTCAAGAGCTCATTGAACCCAGAATGGTTCTGAGTATGCAGAATGAAAAGACTATGGAAGCAGCCCTTATGTATGTAAAAAGAATCAATAGAGGAAGATTCTGCAAATTAAACTATGTAATTAGCATCCATATTGTATTTAATGTATATTCAACATGATTAGGATCCCTAGAACAATTTTCATAAAGAGATCCATGATGATGACCAATAAAAAGCACCAAATTAAAGAACACTTAGAACCTTATATGATTACCATATAATTACAGAAGGTAGACATTTTTTGGTAGCATTCGGAAATTGCATAAACAATCAACCACACACGAATTAATGTTCACTATAATAGAAATGGCCTTATGAAATGATTTGATGAAAATACTTTAAAGCCATTGTCATGACTATGACCGCATGATTCAAAAACTGAATGAAACTCTGAGTGTGTAAACTACTTCATAAAGCATTGTTGAATGCTCCTTATCATGTTTACACCATTGCAATAGACTTCATGAGAAGTTATCCTGAAGTTCGTTCAACATTAGGATACCAGATTATATATATGACCACGCTAAAGGTGATTTAATATTAAACCGATCCGGCAATGCCATTGATGTTCCCATTGACAACCTTAGATTTATCGATGTATCCAATTGGCTGAAGTTTCCTTTTTCCATGAAAAGCTGAGTGTGGTGATGCCTGCAATAAATCTTATGGTCATTTGCTACATAATTTGATGGACTGATCACACAACCACCATGGCTGCACTTGAAGTAAGGTGGGTGGTATGAGGTTCCATCAACATCACCCTTTTCAATGGGGTAAACTGTTTTATTGCAACCGACACATTTATCTTGAGTTCCGACAAACATGCTTGAAACTTTAGTGCGTGAGTGTCCCTGATCAGCAGTTCCTTCCCTCACTATTTTTGGAGCCCCTTCAAAACTCTTATCCAGGCTACCACTCATTTTGAAAAGCTGATCAAATCATCAAAGTGTGGTCTGCAATATAAAACTACTTTGAAGGAGCTGTAATTGCTGAGCTTGAGAGTGCCCTTGCCGTGGTGGAATCTGAAACATGCCTTGTGCTAGACCTTGAAGGAATCTTGAAATACAGAGATATATAATTTAGCATTATGGCATTCAAAATTCAGATCCCAAAGTGCTAAAAGATTAAATGGTTAAACCAATATATATATATATATATATATATATATATATATATATATATATATATATATATATATATATATATATATATATATATATATATATATATATATATATATATATATATATATATATATATATATATATATATATATATATATATATATATATATATATATATATAGATAGATAAACACTTCAGATACATATTACTACTTAATAAATCTGCTTCGAAAATGGTACGCATTAGGCAATATAAGTTTAGGCATGTGCTAAGCATTGACACACAAATATCATTTTTCATTTTTGGGCATTATTCAGTTGAGCATGTATCTTTCTAATTTGAGTAATGACATACAAAATATGTAGGAAGAGCCTCAATAATAGTACCCACATCATAAGAAAAGAAAACAATTTACTGAATCCGAAATGGAGGAAAGGAAAAAAGCTAACCTTAATGGGATAAGAAGTACATATCTGGCTACAACTCCCAAACATCACAGAGGAAATACATAAATATTCCAGTTCCAAGGTTCGGGAGGATTAGACTTGAAGCATCTGGTAAAAGAATCATGCAGACGGAAAGTATAGATTGAATCCAAACACTAACTACAAAGCAACAAAACTTATAAAAAGAGAAGAATGGTAAACGATTAGGAAAAAACATAAAATAGGGATAATGAACGAAGTGATAAAATCTCAAAAACAAAAAAAGATATGACGAAGTAAAAAACAAAGCCAGGGCTGGGAAGAGAGGGGTAGTCAGTCACATACTCACATCAACAATAGCACCAACGGCCTAAGTCAGTGTAGGCGAAATGTCCAGTAAATCACGACTCAAAGATAATTCATCAAGAAGAAAATTAGGAAAATGATTAACATCCAGTATCTACTCATGGAAAGGGGAGAGACGCACAGGCAAAGCTTTCTGAGAGGCTCGTGGATTGATCCAGTGGGAAGATAGTCTTCCAAATTGGGTCGATCCAACTCCAATTCCGATCTCGACGTCGCCAAAACCGCACTCCTGCTATACTCGTTCCCAAACCTCGATCTTATTACGATTTAGCATTGGGTGACAAGTATTCTTCCACCCCTAAAGACTTGGATTGGGATACACGGAGCTCCTCCAGTCACAGGCTACTTCAAGGTGTCGAGCACCTCCCACAAGCCGTGGAGTTATCCTTAAATCATGTGGATAATAGAATTGAATCTCCGATTCAGAAGGAAAGAAGACGGAAGATGTCAAGGTTAACATTTCCGTTAAAACGGAAAGTTAAAATGAAGTCACATGTACAGCAAAGTAAACATAATGTATAATGACTTAATGCATTAAGAGATACCAACATTTTTTTATCACCATTATATCCCTAACAATATTCCCTCTTATAATATTGTAGAGAAAATAATGACTCATTTTTTATGGCTTTGAAAAAAATGAAATTGACTCACTAAACTGTATCACTGTATGCGCTTCTTTGTTATGAAGCAACAATCAGGTCATGCAATTTTCGATGTGATTTTCATCATGAATCATCCCAAAACAGCCTCTATATGCTTTACTACAGGTGTACAGTTGCGTACATTCGACATCCATTACCCCACGATAAGTGGAAGTGTTTGCGGCACTCAGGTAATGTTGTTGTCATTGTTGTTATAAAATAAAGGAAACATGGGTTAATTCAAAAGTTTGTCTCAACCGTTTGGTTTTTTATATATCACGTGTCTCGACCAAAAATACAAAATAAATATTTCAAGGATAGAAATAAGTAAATATGGAAAACAAATACTGGACTATGGGTACCAAATTACAACTTTTATATTTTATATTATTATATAAAATCAATACAAATAAAACAAATTATCGAGAGAAAATATTTTTTCTGTACAAAATTAATACCTGTATTATTATTATTATCATAAGTATTAGTATTACAACTATTTTTAACAAATGAGAAATATTTTCATTACTAAATTAGATGTATTACCTTGTATAACTTAAATTACACTTTCACATGAAATTATGAAGTCAAAATTAGATCAAGGTGAACCATGTGTATAAAAATGGTTTAGCATTAAGATATTATTATAAAATCGGTGGTCGTGAATATTTATTACCAGTGATATCATATGGTGTGTGATAATTTTCAAAAGGAAAACATTCAATGCTAACATATTGTCAACATACATACATTATTGACTGGGCAGGAGTATATATTTCAAACATACATTACATTTTTACCCTTATTTTGAGCGGGATTTTTCCCTCCAATTGTGATGCAAAAACTGTTACTTTATATTATATAAATATACTTTCCTACATTTACCCAACTAATTTTGGTGATTTTCTATTGGGTTTGAAAAGATCCAATCGAATCAATGAGTCCTCCATCACTTTTTAAAAAAATAGTAAACGTAGGAGTTTCCCCACAAATATAGTAAAAGAAATGTTATGAACAAAAATAGGAGTAGTTTATTAAAAATTTAAAAAGAGACTACAAATAACTTTTATACCCTTTTAAGTTAAAATGACTACTTCTTAATGACCTTATTGCTGATTGACGATCAGTGACTAATCGTCATCTGCCGCCCCCAGTAGTGAAGGCAAGGTAGTGAAGGCAGTTTAGAGGAGGCGGGCAGCGAGGCGAGTGGCGGACTGGCAGTCTCTGCGTCACTGAGTCCTGGCTCCGTGGCTTGCAGACTTCAAGAAGAAGAGGACGGATAATGTTTCTTCGGGTTTTGCCAGGGGCTTCTGGTGTCAATTATCTGGACTAGATAGATCACATATAAGTTTATAAGTTTTCTGAGCATATGTTCGAATGATGAATAGCAATGTTGGGGAGGTTTTCATTTTCGACCTTAAACTTGAATGCATTTCAGCCGGTTTCTCATTTCTCACTAGGATCAAATTCTGCATGATTTTATGTAGTCGTATGAAAATGATAAATTGAACATTGTTGTTTTAAATAAGTTTTACCGAAAACTGCTCCTTTTTCATGAATCTCCCCACACCTTTTACTTTTGTAGAAGACACTAGGGTATATTTGTTTTATACGGAGTTTTTTTAGTGAATGCAATAATATATAGTTTGTTTGCTATAAATTTTGTTTTAACCCGAAATTGCATATATATGGAATGAATTTGTCTTGATTCTTTAGAAGATTTCTTAGTAAAAGGAAAAAAGATAATTAAAAGATTTCTTAGTGTGTGAAATTCATATTGATATTTTTTATAGTTTATTAAAAGCCTGTTTCGTAATACTAAAATTGGCTAAATCGGGTGATTTTACTGAAATCTTGAAGTTCTGGCTGGATTGATTGAATTTGCTAAATTATGAAAAAGTTATACTTAAAACACATTTCATTTATAAAATAAAGAAAAACTATATGAAAAATAGCTAAAATGATCTTTTACAATAATTTAATCCAAATCAGCAAAAAATAACTCTAACCTTACTTATATTGATTATTAGGCAATTCCAACATGTAAAATCAAAAATTCCGTGTTTGATCAAAAAAATTAACTAATAAAATTGATAAAGTAAAAAACAGGGCTACCAAATGTGCTCTAATATTCTCATAAACTTATAACAAATAAGATAGAACTTCTACATGTAGATGATTATTGAAAGTTCAAAACATCTATTAGTTTTTTCGTCATTTATTTCTTCTTCAATAGAGGACATTAAATGTGAACAATATATTTGCAATTTGGGGTGTTCATCATAATCATCATCCCACATATAATGACTTATTGAAAGAAAAAGAATATGTATTACGTCACAAAAAACATGAGGTGAAGGTGTGTTTATTGCTTATTATACAAAAATTAAATAAATTGAGATGATTATATAACAAATCATTTTATATAAAAGTTGATTTGTAGTGAAAATAACAAATAAAAGTATCACATCATTAATCTTATTTGCAAAGAAGTGTTCTAAAATTTTCTGCAAGATCATTTGCAACAACTTTGAAAGTCTATTAATTATAATTTTTTATTGTATATTACTTCTCATTCTCTTTTACTCTGTAATACACTTACTCATTCTGCTTACATAAAAACTTTCATTAATTAATATTATTAACAAATAATACAATTAAATTTCTTAATTTTGTCCCGTGCTTCGCACGGGTGAGAATATAGTATAGTAAAAGAAATGTTATGAACAAAAATAGGAGTAGTTTATTAAAAATTTAAAAAGAGACTACAAATAACTTTTATACTCTTTTAAGTTAAAATGACTACTTCTTAATGACCTTATTGCTGATTGACGATCAGTGACTAATCGTCATCTGCCGCCCCCAGTGATGAATAACTGTGGGCCTAACAACCTGTCATTATCAAAATATAGTCGTCCTATTTTTGAATTCTCAAAACTTTTTACTCCTATTTAGGACAATTTTCATTTCTAAAATTAGTCATGTTTTTGTTTATCAAAATACTAGGAGTTATTATTATACCACAAATCCACAATAACCATCTATTAAAATTAGGAATATCCAATTGATTGTTATAAAAAAACATATTCTTTCTATGATTATATTATTTTGAACCCGTAACCTCTCACTTGTAATACACTCCTTCATCCGCACAGATAGCTTAGTTGGTTGAGTGGTGAGAAATATGGATGGATCCGGGCTGGGCCGGTTCGGGTCTAGCCCCGATTGGACCTTTTTTTGGGAATGGGTGAACCGGAACCAGCCCGGGTAGGCGGCGGTTCCGGTTCATTTTTTTTTATTTCTTATTTATTTCACCCCACCCCATCCCCCCACCCCAAACCCCTCGGAAATACCCAGCCCAGCCCAAACAAAAAAAAAACAAAAAAAAAAAAAACAAAAAAAAAACAAAAAAAAAACAAAAAAAGGTCCGAACCAGGTCGCCTGCCCTGGCCGGTTCACTAAATTGAAGGCCCGTACCCGATACACCCCAATCCCCGGGCCGGGCCTAGGCCCGGAACCGGTTACCCAAGACCAGACTGGTTCACGACCCGGGCGGCCCGGGCCCGTTCCATCCCTAGTGAGAAAGTTGGAAGAACGATCAAGGATCGAATCCCAAAGCGGCCTTGTGAAGATTACAACTCCTGCATATTGGAGCTCCGGTGCGCACGTGTAAAAAGGTCTATTATTATTGGACCGACTAATATACTTCCAAAAATCTTGTCGGTCTTTGAGGGCTAGGGTCTTGGAGCTCGGGATTCAATCTTTGTAATACACTCCTTCCTACGATCTGAACTACGCCCCTAATTTTGTCGGATCCAACTCCTTTGCCTTGCTTAGGCAGGCTAGGAGGGTGCCGGGCTGATTTGAACCATTAGATTAAAAAAACAATGATATAAAATTAGTGGGTCCAATTTTTGGCACAAATCTTGAGAGCTGAAATTAAATGGGTTAATTATTAAAATAGGGCAAAAAGTCACGTGTCTGCCCGTCAAATTCCGGAACTGTCGCCGGCGTTGTTAGTGGACGTCTGAGCTATGGTGGCGTGTACGGTACTCCTCCCATCTCCATACAGCCCCTCTCTCTCGACTCCCAACTCTCCTTTCTTACCACCTCTTCGACTCGCGAGGGGTGCTTCCAGCCTCAATACCCAGCCAATCTCATTTCGTGCAAAACGACTGTCCGTTTTGGCGACGACGCGTGCGCTAGACGCTCTTATCTTGGACTGCGATGGCGTTATGGTGGAGTCCGAGCATCTCCACCTGCAGGCATATAATGATGCTTTCTCTCACTTCAATGTATGTTCCCCTTTTGGTCCATCTCAGCCACTTTCTTGGGATGTCGAGTTCTACGATGATCTCCAGAACCGAATCGGCGGTGGAAAACCCAAAATGAGATGGTCTCCCCTCTCTCAAATTAGTGTATATATATTATCTTTATTACGAAGCATTGCTTCTAAGTACGTAGTATAAATTTTGAACGAAATGCTTTTGTTGGAGTTCCGTAACCCGTATTGGAACGATTTAGGTATTTTAACGAGCACGGATGGCCAACATCTACAATCTTTGGTAAGCCGCCCGAAGATGATGCCGATAGAGCAAAGCTGATTGATATTCTTCAAGTACCAATTTTGAGCTTCTTATTTCCTAAATATGTTACCAGTATATACTAGATGAAACGGGTGTTACTTACTAGTATAAAACTCCTGCTTTTGTAGGATTGGAAGACTGAAAGATACCAGCAGATAATCAAATCTGGAAAGGTTAGGAAGAGAAAACAAACTAATGATCTTGACAGGAATGTAACCATGGCTCCGTTTGGAAGCATTAATTAACTCATTCTACGTATGAGCAATATAGGCGGAATAAGTAGCCATTGACTTACTTGAAACGTATTTAGTACCCTGATATGGCTTGTTTGGCTTTACTAGACTCTTCTTTCAATAATTTAACCGAATTCTGACATTTCAACATAAATACGCTTACCAACAGCCAACAGGCCCTTATTTCGCTGAAAGCCACTTTACCAAATACTCTTTTATTTGGGTAATTCAGTAGATCTAGTCATTTCAGAGATTCAATACAACAATAACATCAAAATCCAAGCCCTAGTTCAAAAAGACTTTGGGGTCGACTAACCTGAATTGACATATGAAATCGAAGTAAAAAAGTGGATATTCATATTTCAATTGATGTCATGTGATGTGACTAAGTTATACTGCTAGCTGTCTCACACGTCTACCACAACACCTTTCTCCTTTATCCTGACTAGAGACAAGCATAATACCAAAAAATGTTTTTACTTCTGAGTTTTTTCCCTTGCCAAAACATGTCCAATATATTTATTGCTTGGGCAGATTGAACCTAGACCTGGGGTTCTGCGATTGATGGATGAGGCCAAGGCTGCGGTATGTATATCAATCTTATACCTCTGGTCATTTGTAGAAAAATGTAGCATATTCATGTTATTTTATTATGTGTACATCCGAAACTGTATAGATAGGAAGTAGAGTTAATTTAGAACTCTAACTCTTAGATTAACACGCAGTGTAGATAAGAATAGATAGATCCTAAATATTAGGATCTGTAACAACTTTAGCTTATCTGTAATTTTGTATTTATATCATTGCCGGATGGCTCAATAATACATGGAAGATTAATTCTTCAAACCTACATGGTATCAGAGCCTCGGTTTAAACAATGGTAGAAACCAGTGAAGCTGATTCCTCACACACTACTAACCCTAACTCCCAAATTAGCTCTATGACAAATTACCAGTCTCCTATTCATTCATCTATGATAATCACTAGTCATAGATTGAATGGAACAAACTATCTGGAGTGGTCTCAATCTGTCAGACTTGCAATTGATGGGAGGGGAAAGCTGGGTTACATCACAGGAGAAATCCAACCAAAAATACCTGCAGAAGAAGGGTACAGTACATGGAGGTCAGAGAATTCACTCATAACAGCTTGGCTTCTCAACTCCATGGAGCCCCTAATTGCCAAACCTCATATGTTTATGAAAACTGCAAAGGAGGTATGGGATTCTATTAAGGAAACTTATTCAGACCTTGAAAACTCTTCTCAAATTTTTGAACTCAAAACCAAATTGTGGCAATCTAAACAAGGAAATAGGGATATTATTTCATACTACAATGAAATGGTATCTCTGTGGCAAGAATTAGATCAATGCTATGATGATGAAGAGTGGGAGAGTGCTAAGGATCTGGCCAGACATAAGAAAAAAGAAGAGAATGATAGGGTCTATATGTTTCTAGCAGGGATCAATAGGGACCTAGATGAAGTTAAGGGGAGGATACTTGGAAAAAAACCTCTACCTTCTATCAGGGAGGTATTTTCTGAAATCAGGATGGAGGATAGCAGGAAGAAGGTCATGTACAACACCCCAGCACCTAATGAGGAACCTGGGGAATCTTCAGCTTTGGTGGCCAGAAGTGATGACAACAAGAAAAAACCTTGGTGTGATCACTGCAAGAAACTGTGGCACACAAGGGATACATGCTGGAAACTCCATGGAAAACCACCAGGAGCTGGGAAGAAGAAAGTAGAAAGGGCCCTACAAACTACTGTGACTGAGACTCAACAAGAGGCAGGAGTTGAACCTAAACAACTACCATTCACTCAGGAACAGATAGAGTACCTACTCAGATTCATACCTACCCAGAAAATCTCCAATCCTGAAACCCCTACCTGTTCTTTTGCCCAGAATGGTAAAATAACATCATATTTTTGTTCTGAAAAAACTAAAAACACCTGGGTCATTGACTCAGGTGCAACAGACCACATGACCTATATTCCAAAGTTTTTTTCTTCTTATCAACCTTGTGCAGGAGATAAAAAAGTTAGAGTTGCAGATGGCTCTTTCTCAGCCATAGCAGGGATGGGAAATATTAAAATTTCCTCATCCATTAACCTTTCCAAAGTCTTACATGTTCCTAAACTTTCCTGCAATCTTATCTCTATTAGTAAAATTACTAAAGATCTTCAGTGTTGTGTAAAATTTTTTCCCTCTTATTGCATTTTTCAGGATCTGGCATCAGGGAAGATGATTGGCAGTGCTAGAGAGGAAGATGGCCTCTATACTTTTGATGAAGGAACACAATTGAATAAACAAGGTCAAGAAACAACTTGTTTGCAAACTGTTTTTCCTTGTAATAATGAAGTGTACCTAATGCACTATAGATTAGGTCACCCAAGTTTTTCCTATTTGAAAATGTTGTTTCCTAAGTTATTTCTTAATAAAAATCCTTCATCATTTCATTGTGATATGTGTGCACTTGCCAAACATCATAGGAGTTCTTACATCCCTCATAGTTACAAACCAACTAGTCCTTTCACTATTGTACACAGTGATATCTGGGGTGCATCTAGAGTTTCAACTCTGAAAGGAAAAAGGTGGTTTGTAACTATCATAGATGATCATACAAGGGTCACATGGGTGTTTTTACTTAAAGAAAAATCTGAGATTGAAGGGGTGTTCAAACAATTTTACTCAATGATCCAAACTCAATTCAACACTAATATCAAAATTGTGAGAAGTGATAATGGACTTGAGTATTTTTCTAAGAAGTTAAATACTTTTTTTGCTGAAAAAGGGATTGTTCATCAAAGTTCATGTGTAAATACTCCTGCTCAGAATGGAATAGCTGAGAGGAAAAATAGACATTTACTTGAAGTTACTCGTGCAATAATGTTTTCTGCCAAAATTCCAAAATATTTATGGGGAGAAGCTGTTTTACATGCTACCTATCTAATTAATAGGATGCCATCAAAAACTCTAGGATTCAAAACTCCTATTGATACTCTTCAAGCTTGTTTTCCTGAAACCAGACTAATTAATTCTCTTCCCATAAAAATTTTTGGGTGCACAGTTTTTATTACCAATCCTGACAGAACTGCAAGTAAATTTGACCCTAAGGGAAAAAAATGTGTTTTCTTAGGACTCTCTTCAACTCAGAAAGGCTATAAATGTTTTGACCCTATAACAAAAAAGATGTTTATAACTATGAACACTGTTTTTGTAGAAGATCAACCTTTTTTTGGTACTCATCTTAAGGGGGAGATTCCTAATGAAGATGGTAATAATGTGTCACATATCCTTGAAAAACTAGAACCTCTTGACATTAATCTAGATGCACAGTATAATAGACAGTTAGATGCACTAGAAAATAGTCAAGAGTCAAAAGAAAATAATTTTTTTTTTCTGAAACAAGGAAAGATGATGAACAGCAGACAAGTAAGTTTTTTGGCAAGGTTTATGAAAGGAGAGTTCCAAATCACAGAATAGAGGACATCCCTGATCCTGCCACTGTCAATGAATCTGACTCAATGCCAGAAAATGATAAAGGTAATAATTTCAGTGATCTAAATCTACCCATTGCTCTCAGAAAAGAAAAAAGGTCATGTGTTAAATACCCTATCTCAAACTATCTGTCCTATTCTCAGTTATCTACATCTTTTGCAGCTTTTACCTCTAGCCTTTCCATTGTCTCTATTCCCTTAACCATACAGGAAACCCTATCTATACCTGAGTGGAAGAAGGCTGTTTTAGAAGAAATGAATGCCCTTGAAAAGAATCAGACATGGCAGACTGTAGAGGTACCCAAAAATAAACCAAGGGTTGGATGCAAATGAGTGTTTACTCCTAAATTCAAGGCAGATGGTACACTTGAAAGATATAAGGCCAGACTAGTTGCCAAAGGATACACACAAACCTATGGCATAGATTATACAGAAACTTTTGCACCAGTTGCAAAATTAAATACTATAAGGATTCTACTATCTCTAGCTTCTAACCTAGACTGGCCTCTTCAACAGTTAGATGTGAAGAATGCTTTCCTAAATGGGAAGCTTGAAGAGGAAGTATACATGAGCCCTCCTCCTGGTTTTGAGGAACAATATGGCTCAAAGGTGTGCAAGCTAGAGAAAACCTTATATGGGCTTAAACAGTCCCCAAGGGCTTGGTTTGAAAGGTTTACTCGGTTCATAAAGAAGCAGGGATTCAAACAAGCCCAAGCAGATCATACACTATTCATGAAATTCTCCATTAAGGGAGAAATTGCAGTACTAATTGTTTATGTGGATGATATAATTCTTACAGGAAACTATTGTGAAGAGATTGAAGACCTGAAGAAGAAGCTTGCTCAGGAATTTGAAATCAAAGACCTAGGAGAATTGAAGTATTTTCTTGGCATGGAGATAGCCAGATCAAAGAAGGGAATTGTGGTATCCCAAAGGAAGTATGTACTAGACCTACTTCATGAAACAGGTATGAGTGCATGCAGACCAATAGATACTCCAATTGACCCTAATCAGAAGTTAGGAAATGTCAAGGAAGGAGTACCAGTTAATATTCACCAATATCAAAGATTGGTGGGAAGGTTGATTTATCTGGCACATACAAGGCCAGATATTGCCTTTGCAGTCAGTATGGTTAGTCAGTTCATGCATAATCCATTCCAAGAACATCTAGATGCTACCTACAGGATTCTAAGATATCTGAAAAGTTGTCCAGGGAAAGGATTATTTTTTAAAAGAAGTGACAATAGAAGTGTAGAAGCCTTTACAGATGCAGATTATGCTGGGTCAATAACTGATAGAAGGTCTACATCTGGATATTGTACTTATGTATGGGGGAATCTAGTGACTTGGAGGAGTAAGAAGCAGAATGTTGTTGCCAGAAGTAGTGCAGAATCAGAATTTAGATCTATGGCTAATGGAATCTGTGAGCTACTTTGGATCAAGAGAATGATGACAGAGTTGAATATGGAAATGGACCTACCTATGAAATTATATTGTGACAATAAAGCAGCCATGAATATTGCTCACAATCCTGTGCTACATGATCGTACTAAACACATTGAGGTGGACAGGCATTTTATCAAAGAGAAGATTGAAGCTGGAATTGTATGCACACCATTCATATCTACTAAAGAGCAGACAGCTGATATCTTTACAAAGGGGCTGTTTAAACCAGTGTTTGAGTTTCTTATAAGCAAGTTGGGAATGTATGATATATACTTACCAACTTGAGGGGGAGTGTAGAAAAATGTAGCATATTCATGTTATTTTATTATGTGTACATCCGAAACTGTATAGATAGGAAGTAGAGTTAATTTAGAACTCTAACTCTTAGATTAACACGCAGTGTAGATAAGAATAGATAGATCCTAAATATTAGGATCTGTAACAACTTTAGCTTATCTGTAATTTTGTATTTATATCATTGCCGGATGGCTCAATAATACATGGAAGATTAATTCTTCAAACCTACATCATTTGATGTGTCTATTTTGATATTTTCCATGCATTAACTTGATTTGCTTTTGTGGTTAATAAAATGGTTCTCAAGTACTAATGTACTATAGGTTCAAAGCAAAATTTCCCTGTGATTTCAGTATGTGGTGGTATAACTGGTATCATGTCTTTGAAGTGGCATGTTTTATTATGTCGGGCTGACGTGCTCTATTCTGTGACAGGGAAAGAAACTTGCTGTTTGCTCTGCTTCAACTAAAAGTTCAGTCATACTTACTATGGAAAATATTATTGGAATTGTAAGCCCATCAGTCAATTAAAGAAAAATCTTTCTTCAAAAACATGAGTTCACTTATGTGCAAACGTTTGTTAGTTTAGGATCGATTCCATGGCCTTGACTGCTTTCTGGCAGGTATCTTTCACTTCTCTTGGAGTTTCACTCCCCTTTTACGTATGATGTAAATATGTAATATTTTCATATAGAATTAAGATTGGTAATAATGAAATAGGAAGGGCATAAATAAAGTGAAAACCCCTTTGACCTTTGAAGAAGAGGAGTGTTTGGTTGGGTATTGCAAACTGGATATTATAAAAAATAATACTCGGTATTACATTTAGTCCACTTTTATTAATAGCAAATGAAGTGTGTGCTGTAGATACCAGCTTACCCTGCAGCAATATATTCAAGTTCGTATATGTACAATTCATAGCATAATATGAGAGATAATGGTAACCATTTGGCGGACACTAAAAGTGGCAACAATTCTGTCCACCAAACACCCCTAAATTCTGTTGACTCTGTTCTGCTCTGTTGACAGTTCTCAAAAAGTATTTCACAAGTTACTTGTGGCTAAAGTGTTTAAATTAAGAGAATATGTATTCCATGGTTTTTATTTTATTTAGTAGAAATGCCCTTTGGAGGTTGTTACCAATAATATATTCAGTACTTCAACTCAATCACTTCAACAACAAAAAATGTCACAAAACAGGCATAATTATGTAAATATTTAATCCTCACAAAAATGACACGTTTACATTCCTGTAGTCTATGGACTTTGGAGAAATGTTGCATTCATTGAAAGTTATAGGCATAGGAAATGTAGGTAGCGTTAATGAAATCACTAAAATTCTATCCACAGCCCCCCGTTGAATATCTTATAATGGTGTAACAATATCTCATATTCCCAAAATATGACCAGATTTGTTTTTTCACCATCATATGACTATAGAAGGTTTTGAAAAAATGTGACAGGCTCTTCACAATTCCAGTACAATTTAACAGAAATTAACCAGGAAGAAAGAAAGAAAACTGTGATTTCATTCAATGGAGGTACAAAGTTTGTCCCAAAGAAGGAGATAGAACTCCAACTTCCCAGTCCCAGTCAAAAGATCTAACAACAGCCTGCCTTCCCTCTGCAGATTTATTCTATTTATATCCTTCACATAACGAAGGTAGTTATTAGTTACTAACAACTTTTAACTAATAACTAGCTAGTCAACTTTGACTTTCTAGAATAGACTTGCCCATAGAATCTATTCCTATTAGTTAGGCTAGCCGGGTCCTTATCAATACCCCCTCCTTGAACTACCAACTTGTCCTCAAGTTGGAATTCAGGAAATTGCTCTTGTATTACTTGAATATCCTCCCATGAGTCTTCGAATTCAGGAAGTTCCTTCCAATGTATAAGGACCTCCTTCTTCCCTTCCTGATTTAGCCTGATATCTCTCACACCTTCAGGTCTCACTTGCAGCTCACAATCTTCTGTGAGGCAATTTGGGAGGTTTTGGTAAGTCACTGTAGGTTTCAGTGCCTTCTTGAGCAAGGATATATGAAATACAGGGTGGATTCTACTCCTTTCTGGTAACTTGAGTTTGAAAGCTACAGGATTGAGCTTCTCTGCAATGTCATAGGGACCATAGAATCTTGGGCTTAGCTTTTGATTGATCTTCTTAGCTAAACTTTTCATCTTATAGGGCTGTATTCTAGAAAAACTTTATCTCCTACTTCCAGTATTTCTTCCCTCCTATGTTTGTCAGCATGTTGCTTCATCAAATTCCGAGCTCTGGCCAAATTGTCTTTCAATTCCTTCAACATTATATTTCTTTCAGCTGTCAATTTGGCCACTTCATCTGTTGCAGACAAAGTAACATCTCCTCGAATGATAGAAGGGGGATGTTGCCCAAACAAGGCCTGGTAGGGAGTACCCTTCAAAGAACTGTGGTAATTAGTGTTGAACCAGTATTCAGCCCAAGGAAGCCACTTCACTCACTGTCTAGTTTGCCTGCCACTCAAACACCTTAAGTAAGTCTCTAGGCACCTGTTCACCACTTCAGTTTGCCCATCACTTTGAGGGTGATAAGCTGTGCTGTATTTAAGTTTTGTCCCTGCCAATTTGAATAGCTCAGACCAAAATGAACTCAGAAAAATGCTATCTCTGTCACTTACGATGGATTTGGGAAATCCATGTATCCTTACAATTTCCTGCACAAAAACTTCAGCTACTTCCTTGGCATTAAAAGGATGAGCCAAGGGTATAAAATGTGAAAACTTGGTCAGTCTGTCCACCACTACTAAGATGGTGTCTTTGCCCTGGGATTTTGGAAGACCTCCAATAAAATCCATACTAATATCAGACCACACATGATCTGGAATGGGTAAAGGTTGAAGCAATCCCGCAGGTTTCAATGCCTGGTACTTGTTTCTTTGACATGTTTCACACCCTTGAATGTAGTCCTTGATGTCTGATCTCATACCTTCCCAAAAAACAGATTTGAGATCCTCTTCATGGTTCTGAAATATCCTGAGTGGCCCCCTACCTACTGCAGAATCATGATATTCTTTCATAATAGTCTGAATTCTGTGGGATCCTTTTGGTAATACCAGCCTCCCTTTATAGTATAGAAGCCCTCCCTTCATTTTGTAATCCATACACAAATCAGGCTGTATCACCATCTTCTGAACCATTTCCCCCCATTTAGAATCCTTCTCTAGTTCTTCTCCCAAACCATCCCATTCCTGGCAAGTCACTGTGGAAAGGGCTACATAGGTAGCTTTTCTGGATAGGGCATCTGCAGCTTTGTTCTCAATCCCTGGTTTATATCTGATAATAAAATTGTACCCCATATGTTTAGTGATAGGAAATCAGACCTGCGAACAATAATCTAGCAGCAGAATTGGAGAAAAAGGGACAATGCACAGTAATGGAGGAAGATCGTATAACAAACAAGAGAGAGAAATAGTGTCTGGCAGTTTTAAGAGATGCCTCTCTCCAAGTCCCAGCCCAATACAAGCCAATACCAGCCTGCCAATTATTACAAGGACCTAGCTATTTATAGTAATATTCCCCCCATCCGATAACTAGTAACATATAGCTACTTATTATGACCCTTATTCCTCCTTGAGTATACATGATCAAAATACTTAATATTATTATCAAAATAGGACTGGCTCCCAGCATCCCTATCATCACTCCCCCCTGGAACAACCACCTTGTCCCCAAGGTGGAGATCAAGGTACTGCTTCAGTAGCTGCTTGAGATTCTCCCAAGAGTCTTCAAAGTCTGGCAAGTGTTCCCAGTGTACCCGCACCTCAATTTCTCCTGCATCATTTACCCTGCTTTCCTTCACTTCTTCTGGCTTCACCTTCAACTCCCAGTCTTCAGTTATACATTTAGGTAAGGGCTGTATGGTAGAAGTGGTAGGAACTGCCTTCTTCAACAGGGACACATGAAACACCGGATGAACTCTACAGCCATCTGGCAGGTTCAATCTGTAGGCCACAGGGCTGATTTGCTCACTGATTTCAAACGGGCCATAGAATCTAGGGCTTAACTTCTGATTCACTCTCCTAGCCAGTGTCTTGAGCTTGTATGGTTGTATCTTCAAATATACCCATTCACCTGCCTTGAACTGAACCTCCCTCCTCTTCAAGTCAGCCTGCTGTTTCATTTGATTTTGAGCCAGAGCCAAGTTATTCTTTAATTCAGCTATTATTTCATTCCTTGCTGCTGTCAACCTGTTCACTTCCTCCACAGCTGATGAAGTGACATCACCCTTGACCAAAACTGGTGGATCTTGGCCATATAAAGCTTTATATGGGGTGTTTTTAGTGGACACATGGTAATTGGTGTTATACCAAAACTCTGCCCAGGGTAACCATTGAGGCCATTGCTTAGGCTTCCTCCCAGTCATACACCTCAGATAGGTCTCAACACACCTGTTGACCACCTCAGTCTGCCCATCAGTCTGGGGATGATAGGCAGTGCTGAACTTCAACTTGGTTCCAGCCAGCTTAAATAATTCAGTCCAAAAAACACTCAAGAAAACATTGTCCCTATCTGAGACTATAGTTTTAGGGAACCCATGCAGTCTAACCACCTCTTGAATGAAGATTTCTGCCACACTCTTAGCACTATATGGGTGTGATAATGCTATAAAGTGTGCAAATTTAGTCAACCTGTCCACCACAACAAGAATGGTGTCTTTCCCTTGGGCTTTTGGCAGTCCTCCAATGAAATCCATACTCAGATCAGTCCAAATCTGAGTTGGAATGGGCAATGGCTGTAACAATCCGGCTGGACTCGGAGCTTGGTATTTATTTCTCTGGCATATTTCACACTGCTGCACAAACTGTTGGATATCAGCTCTCATCCCCTCCCAATAAAACAAAGATGATATCCTCTTCATAGTCTTGAAATTTCCAGCATGTCCCCCTATGGCAGACTCATGAAATTCCTTGAAGATGCTGTGAATCCTTGCTGAGTGTTTAGGAATTACCAATCTGTCCTTGAAATAGAGAAGTCCTTGTTTGAGGATGAAATTAGGAATGGAGTCTGGCTCAACCCCTAATTTCTGAATCATATACTTATATTTGCTATCCTCCATCAGCTCACACTCCAAACCTTCCCATTCTTGGCAGGTTACCACAGACAGGGAATACAGATTACCCTTTCTAGATAATGCATCCGCAGCCTTGTTTTGCACCCCAGGCTTGTACTTGATGACAAAGTTATACCCTAACAGTTTGGTCACCCATTTCTGCTGGTCCACCCCCAGAATTCTTTGCTCAGTCAAGAACCTTAGTCTCTTCTGATCAGTGTGCACCTCAAAGGTCCTTCCCAATAGATATGGCCTCCATTTTTGAATAGCCAAAACTATAGCCATCAACTCCCTCTCATAAACAGACTTACTTTGATTTCTGAGAGAGAGTTTTACTCATATAAGCCACAGGTCTGCCCTCCTGCATTAAGACAGCACCTACTCCTTTTCCTGAAGCATCAGACTCTATTACAAAAGTCTGATTAAAATCTGGAATTTTCAGCACTGGTAGTTGAGTCATTCTCCTTTTCAGATCTTCAAAAGCCTGCTGAGCCTCAGGGTTCCACTTGAACCCATCCTTCTTAAGCAAATCAT